CAGAAAACCGACGTGAAGCAACGCTTGCGTTGTGTTTCGTCGTGTGAGTGAGGTTACCGGAGGCCCAATTACCCTCCCCTTCCCCAATCTCCCCAATCCCTGAATCCCCAACGATCTTCAAACTTCTAATCCTCAAAAGGCCGGTAACGCACTTGTAACGCCTCTGGTGTTCCAGGTGTCCATGGGCGACGCCGATTGCTTACCATCAGGTGATCCGTCTGCTCGTTTACCGGCTTATGCCATAAAAAAGAAATATATTTGTATACGTACCTATGTAGCATGTCATCAAGTTGCAGCAGATTGTCCCTGTTCCTGGTGAGCGTCCACTGCCTGACGGCGCTGGCCTCCGTCCAGCTCGAGCTCAGCGCGCGAGGAGACTCCGACTCACTCGAGTTCACGTGTGAACGGACTTTTAGGCAGATCCAGCCTGGAAATATGTTAGAAGGAATGTTAGTTATTATTGCGGATCGGAAAAGGTAGGATTACCAGACCGAGCATTAAACCATAATCCTCGTCCTCCATCCTCGGCCGTAGTGATATGTTGTAATAGAATAGATGCCTAATTTTTATTTTAATGTCCGTCTGGTAGATAAGTTTAAATCATTAGACACGTATTTTTAAATAGTGAAAAGTGGGTGATACATTGTACAGTGGCATAATGTGCACCTTTGCCTACCCCTTCGGGGATAAAGGCGTGATGTTATGTTATGTTAAAAACAATAATGTGTTACCTTCATCGAGCGAATCCTGGCACTTCTCCTCGCACTTGACAGTCTCAATGCTGAGTCCTCCCAGTGACACTCGCTCGTAGTGGAAGTGGGCGCACTCCTCCAGCTTGGGGAACCGACACGAGGGGAGCAGGGGCGCCGGCTGGAACGTGCATAAGTCATAATTAATTATTATACTGTCCGCCTCGTTGGCCGAGTGGTCGCAAGTGCGACTACCGGGCAAGGGGTTTCGGGTTCACGGGCCTGCGGACGGCGAGCACGGTTGACTAGCCGCCTGACCAGAACCAGACCCCAGCGTACGGCGCGTCGCGTTCCGCACGCGCCTCAAAAAGCCATCGGACCACCACGGATGGGGCCCAATACTGGGACCGCGGAAGACTTAACGGGTTGCCGGGGCTCCAGCTCGACGTGCAAGAGTAGAAACGGGGTGGTTTTTAGTCAGTAAGTGTCTGACACTCCCTGCCGCCTCACCCGGGCGGGAGAAGACCTTCGATGATTTTTCCCCCCTTAAAAAAATATCCTGTACATAACAAAATTAAAAATAAATCATACCATATCATCATCATCATAGTTGACAGAGGCGGACGGCAACGACTGGCTCATCGCGGAGCCCTGCGAGGTCACCGGAGTCACCGTCAGCGCTGTCAGCGATATAGAACCTGGAAAATATAAAAATAATGAGCATATTGAACGAATTTAAAAATGACCCTCCCCTATCCGAATCCCCAACATTCCTAATCCCCTAAAGTCCGGCAACGCACTTGTAACGCCCCTGGTGTTCCGTGTGCCCATGGGCGGCGCCGATTGCCTACCATCAGGTGATCCATCTGCTCGATCACCGGCTTATCTATTACTAGCGACCCGCCCCGGCTTCGGGGCACGGCTGCAATATGCATGTATTATACATATAGACCTTCCTTAAAAACCACTCTATCTATTATAACAAACGGCATCAAAATCCGCTGCGTAATTTTAAAGATCTAAGCATACATAGGGACAGACAGACGGCGGATAGCGACTTTGTTTTATAATAACTATTTAACACAAAATCCAACAGTCAAACTATTTGTGTATGGTTTTGTTGGACGTGGCGTTAGATTGTAGATACCATGTGCCTCTCATTAAATAAATAAAAATAATATCCCATAGAAAAAAGAAACGTTAGAATTTCTCGCTTCTTCTTCATGCGAATGTTTTAACATTTTGGAACGAGCGCCTACCTTCACTGACGGATAGACTGACAGACTATTCTATATTTGTCGACGTTTCAAAAGTACAGGTGTTCGGTTCAGGTGAAATAAATGTTTTGACTTAGACTTTTAACAATGAAAAACATAGGTCTTTGTACCAGTATGTTTTATATCAAGTAATTGAAACGCGACCGCGTCCGGCGCTCTGATTGGCCGGCTCGAATGAACCAACCAATCAGTACGCTACACGCGATCTCGTATCGATTACTTTTAACTAGAATGTTGTTCTGACATCTTTCACTGGTCGACGAGCGACTGAGTTTTGATGTGCCTTTTCAATCCCCATTTAACTGTGGGAGAGCCAAGCTTCGGCACGAATGGACCGGCTCGACCGGAGTGATACCACGGCCGAGCAAAAAACCGACTGAATCCCTAACAATCCTCAAACTCCTAATCCCCTAAAGGCCGGTAACGCACTTGTAACGCCGCTGGTGTTTCAGGTGCTTACCATCGCATTGCTTACCATCAGGTGATCTGGCTGCTCGTCTACCAGTTTATTTGACAGACTGCCTCGTTGGCCG